GACGACAATATGCTAAAAACCAAGTCTTGTAGGGTTACGTCACAACTTGAACTTTTGTGCACGGTCCTGTCGCGAAACCTTAGCTGACAGAAGAGGGCAGCGGCTGTTACACCATTGAAATGTGCAAAAACCATGTGGCAGCAGGGGATGGGTTTTTGAGGAAGCTGAGACTTCGGGATGGGTAGGTCCCTAATCATGTGTGAAAAGCGGAAAGTTCATAATGACCGCAGAGTGTCGTACGAATCAGCGAATGCACAGAAAAACATAAAATCGCCGTGCTCAGAATAATCAGGCGTCCGTAGACTGTCTTGCTGCTGCAGCTTAAGCAGTAAACCTCGTCTGTTACGTTTAACTTGAAAGCAGCAGGTCATTCGAAAGTTCATAAATTTCACGGAACTTTACCTCAAACTATATTTATTTTATTTCAAATAAGCATATTATAGAGTAATGGTCACCGTAGCTGACACTAGAAGATCTCCTGCGAATCTAGTCCTGTTTCGCTCCTTCTCACCACAAAATTCCGGAATCATTAAGAGAGCAGTTGGATTACCTAGATCCCGAGAAAATTCTCATATGGAAAGCCGCTCGCTGTACAACGTATGTTTACATGATCAATTCTTGGGATCTTTCTTTCGAGCGGAAACGTTTTATTTCTAGTGCTGCTCCGTTCTACTTCGACTCCTACAACGGACTTTCGGATGGGGGTCTGGTGGCCAATAACCCTACTCAGGCATTGATAGCGGATTTCCTTCAAACGACGAGACTGGAGAAGGAGCATTCTCCAGTTGAAGTAAGCTTCGAAATGATTCATCACTACTGAAATCCCCTCAGCTCTGATGAGAATGCATGTTGAACGACGGCCTCAGAAACGAGTGAGCTGTGGCTGATCCAGGGTAACCATTCAAGAGAAAGTTCATCAGCATCCGAAATGATGCTTCACTTATCACATGCCAATTTTCTTTCCTTTTTCCATTACCCTTCTTTAACTGTTAATTGGTATCCCCCGTTTCTCACCAGTATGAGAAATGCAATGAGACTTATTGGCTCAATGTTGATCAAGCTGCTCATCTAGATGTTCCAGTTACAAATCTGAACATCACTTTTAGCCGCCCCATTGGCTTTCTCTTTTGGAATACGCCACGCATTTGACCTCCGTCAATGGCGATGTTTGTAATCTTGATCAAAGACAATACTGCGATCAAGACGTAACAAGTTGATATCTGTGCTCAGTATGAACCAGTAGCCATCAAAAACACATTGGAAAAGAAGAAGCGAAATAGTTTGGGGAACTTCTGGCCCAGACCTCCCTCCCCTAGGCGAAGGGAGCCGGCGTTGCCTTAGACGGTTCATCGGGGCGACAAGTTCAATCAGAAGAATTCCAAGAGTGAACCAGTCCACGGCACAGAGCATAGGCAATCGCCCTAACGCTCCAGCGGTACAGCTATATACCAAACGCAACTCCGCTTGTAAAGCCGTCTTGCATTGTTGCAGTACGCTCGGCTTCATCGCTATGAAAGAACTTCTCGCGTCCCTAGCTTCGTTATCCTCACCATTTCTGTGACGAAAAAAGTTGTATATTCTCTGTGAGGCGGACAAGATGCAAATGCAACGGAGGCTTTCGCTGATCACTTGGCTCGGGGAGTGTCTTAATGGATTTTGGTATTTTGGCGCGGGATAAGCGTGATGTACACTGTGACTGTGCAGGTTGACATACTTTTTGATACAATTCAACATGTCCAGAGAGAAGGCCCAGATCCATGTATGGCCTGTGTTGTATCAATTGGCACAGGATCAAGCCCGGCCGAAAATACAAATGGCATTGATCTCAACTTCAATTCGATCATTTCGGTTCGTTTTTGCTTACTATTATCTTTTTTTGTTTGTCGGAGTGCCCTTCTCAAGAACATCACATAAAATGTTCTAATATAATCCATTTAGAACAAGAGGAGTCCTCTTCAAATAGCCCGCGGCTTTATTACGGTGGTGAATAATGCCAAGAACATGTTTCAAATTTTAGTGAGAGAGGTAATAGAACGTTTTTCTGAAAAAGACGGATTCTACTGAAGAGCTCCGAACCCTTGAACTTTACATGACGAAATAACCTCGAAAATGAATCCACCATTGATGATTTAGCGTGACCATGCGAAAATCGTGCTGCTTGTCACTGAACTAGTCACCTGAGCGTCGACATCGTCTTCTTACGAACCGCTACAAATGAAGTGGAGTAGTCCGCATGATTATCCCAATGCTGTGCCAACTTGATCCTTTCCCGTGCAGTTGTTTTGATAGGGCTGAACACTTGAACGATCGTTCTAAGAAATTCTTGTGATGTTCCGAGGCAACCAGTCCACAACCACTTTGATCTAAACTCATATTAAAATCACTTGACGTTCAGGAGCCACCTGATCATTAAGTTCTTGGCAAACATAGTAATATTCCTTATTTTCGGGCATTGACCGGAACTTCGCACGACATGTTTGTAGTCATACACTTTTGTCCCTGATGGGAAGAGGGCTATGCCTTGGACCGCCTGACTTTTTGGCGGACGGAACTCCATCTTTCCAATGGCCTAGTAACCTGCGGTCAGCCTGGAGAACTTGTATGTAGAGGTAATCTAACATTCTGTTCACAAATGTGACATTCACTGCTTAGGCGCTGGGGCTAATGCAAGACACTACGATTATCTACTGGTTCAGCTTTGGAAGAGGGCAGATGATCGTAGTTTTCTCCATTAGCGCCAACGCCAAGAATGAATGTCATAGTCGTAATCAGATGTTAAAATAAACTTCAAGTAACTTCTGAATTCAAAAGTTTTCTGCGGATTTGGTGATCTACGCACTTCATAAATTAGCTAGCATCCAAAAGTCAGCGCGACCAAGCCATTAGCTTGGTAGGAGGGCACTATACCCCTTTGCTGCATGGTGCCCTTTCACTGTCTCCTATAGGAACTAAACGTCTATCTGGCATTCATGAGCCTAGTATACGCCCGCTGGGAAGTACAAAGAAGAATTGACGAACTTAATGACTACTCCTAGTTTTCTCCTCCTACTCTTTTTCCCGTTGGGAAAAGAAAGGAAGGCGGACTTCATGTAAGAGTGAATGGAGATTCAGCTTATAATAAATTTGGCTCGGTCAAATCTTTTCGAAACCAATACCATATGAGGGGATTTCCTGATCTGTCTCTTACCACTTATGTTTTTCTTCGCATGATGAAAATGGGGAGTTTTCCACATGGCCCTTTCCAATTCAGTAGATCACACTTTCCAGTTTCTAGAAGGAGCTCTTGGGATCGTGGGAATAAATTCGCCAGCAATGATCGTGAATAAGGCACACGGTCAATAATGTCATCTTTATTTAATCCCGTTCGGGGTCACGCTGCGTTTGACAATCGTAAAAAGCCTTGACATCAGTCGGATAGGCGCATGCTCTGTCAGAACCCAGAGTAGAGCCACAATTCTCATTAAGAAGGCAAGACGATGTGGAATTCGTTGGGTGGGCAGAATTTTGCGCGAATCGAAGCTCATGGTCAATTCTGTACCCACCTTAGTCTTCCTTATTGTGCCATCTCAACCTAAACATCAGCTAACTCTCCCAAGTGGTCCCGCTCAATGCTGCTCAGCTAAATTCCTCGTTTTCTGCGAAGCAAAGCGACAGGCAGGAGCCATCCGTGGATGTGCACAGGCCACCCCTAGCGCATACATTAGAATCTCACCACATCTAAAGGACACAAACTGAAAAAAAGAAGAGCAAAAATATCAGAAAACTTTCTGGCATGCTGAAACGAAGTGTCTCGTACCTGATAAGATTAGCTACGTTCCAGTGCACTTCGTCAAGCGGTCAACCCGTGCGTTATTCTCGCGAATGGTGTCACTCACTGGATGTGCCGTTCTTTCGATTTTCGCCCATGATGCGGACAGGTGTGCAGCTGGACAACACGGACACTGACGTACTTATCCAAATGCTTTGGGAGACAGAGGTCTGTAAGAATTCTTCAGTTTTTCAGGTAGATTAAGTCGAAGTAGAACGTGTTCTCGTTTGTTACACCCTCTGAAATTTTCTGTGCTGTTATCCGTACTTCCGTTGACTCCTCCTTCCATCCTGCAGCTGAACATAGCAACACGATGGATTCCTCGCGCGCCTCAAATGCATCGTGGGAGCACCCCTAGGCAGCGTTCAGACTTCGCTACCGTTGCAATGGCGCTCTAATGCTAGACGGAAACGCGGACATAGGCAGGTATATCAACGGCGACCACGACTGTTTCGAAAGAGAGAGTAGGAGAACAGGAATGGTCACGTTGCCTAATCACACAGTACTCATCTCTCTTCTATACTCTAACGAAACACTAGCGCCCCCCCTCCGATACCTTTCGATGCGTTCGCTGCTATTCCGTCCACCACTGGAGCGCTACTGCAATGGCAGCTAGTCGACGCGCGTCATCGCGATGGCACTGTCTTGGTTCGCAGTCGTAGCCAGCGCAGAGGCATAGCGAGCGCAACTATATCAGGAGCCATCAACACAAGGTGGCAGTGTTGCGTTATGTCAAGCCTATGAGCTGCTGAATACTCTGCTGATTTGCGCGCAATGACTCGACGCGGGATTAATGTTAGAAGGCCTTGGTCTACATTGAGAGTGTGTAAAACTACTGGGGAAGGAGTATAGAATCTTGCCGTTGTTGTTCGGTAATCCTACACCAGGGTTCGACTGTTTCTGCTCCAGATAAGTGGAGGTGAGAGTAGAATTTTACGGTCGAAAGAGCTTGCCCTGAAGATGAAATAGAAAATATCAGTCTCGCATGTTGGATTTCTTTGGACGCACAGAACCTGCTTCATGCGCACTCTAGAATCTTTCAGCCTTCTATGAGCTGATTTCAGCTAGTTTTTAAAGTTTCTTATATATTCTAAAGTCATGATCCCTGCAATCAGTTGACTGGGCGTGTCACTGCGCCTGTATTAGAGCAATGTCGAAACGGCCTTTTACTGCGATGTTACCTTTCTAAATTTACAACCTCTATACCTGTACCACCTTGCTATTTGTTCATCGAGTTCCTCGAGCGGGCCAGTAACGTCTCCATTCGTCAACGTGCAAGAGTTGCCCAATGAACTCTCTCTGCTCGAGGGACACGATGAACTTCATACCATTCGTTCAGAGCTTTCACGAAGAAGTCTGACCATCGCGTAGGCGGTCGTCCAGGCGTTCGCTTGACATCCCGTGGAATCCAGTCGGTGATCGCTCTGGTCCAGCGGTCGTCCTCGAAACGCATGACGTGCCCGGCCCACCTGATCTTCGAAACCTTGGCAAATGCGGCGGCGTCTCTGATCTTCGATCGTCGGCGGAGTGCGGAGCTCCGGATTCCCTCTCTCACTTGCGTGTAGCGGGAAACTCCGAGCATCGCGTAGCGGTCGATGCTTCGTCGTCTCGAACAGTCTGATGTCAGACAGTCAGACATCTTCCTGGCTTGCAACATTAGATTTGATGTGAGCTGCAAGTTTCCGTGCGTTGAAAGTACAGATCGTCATCCTAGTCCTGGGCGACTTAAATCTCCGTTGGCCCTGTGATTCTTGCAGCCTCGCCCGAGCGGTCCCAGCCGACGTCGCCCTGTCGGTGGTTCCCTCAGGTTCAGGGGAATGAGGCCCATAATTATTACTGTTTTCGGCGTGAAGAAATTTGACCACGCGTAGCTCGCCAGGCTCTGACGTGGCACCCTCCGCATTGGTACGGTTTGGAACAGTCCAAACCGTTCACCCCACGCCACGTTGAGGCTGCGGATAGGATTTGTGGGGAAATAGGAAATTCACAACAGCTAGTGGAAAATGCTGTTTTGGCCGCGCTCCTGTTCACGCCCTTTCAAACTCACTATGGTTTGCAGCGATCATGACTACACCCTTTCATAATCCCTGCGAGTCCTTATCATTCTATATTTCCTTCCGTTCACACTTGCTGCAGTTTTGACGAAATGAAACTTCATTTTGAACAAAGACCTTCGATTAAATGCAAAAATTCAACCTTCGCAAATAAACTGTGCTTTAGTGTTATATCCGTGGAGAAGGAAAGTATGATCTTGAGCAACTCGCAAAGTTTTTGGATATGAAACCACTGTCAACTGATGTCGACTGCGACCAAAGTATTAATGAGAAGACTGACAAGCAACAACTGACTAGCTCCAGAGCTCTTATCTGAATAGATATACATTGAGGGGAATTTTGTTTACGTTAAATCTATTCCTTTTTAAGTGATGCTTGCTAATATTTCGAAGAACTTCTTGCAAATCAGTGAGACCTATTTTAATAAGGTCGTTTTGAATAATTGATAATATTATCAAGATGTCTGAAAGCCTTGTGTATTTCGCAATGCATAGTGTCTTTTCCACTGTAACAGTGTTTCAAAGTCGATGGAGAGAATTTTAAGTTGCAAGCATATTGTAGTGGCATTTTTTCGTATTGCGTCCCCTTAACACTATTTCTTACGGGATAAATAAACAGTTAATCTATGACAGATGTTCTTTTTTGTCTTTGGTTAATTACGAGTGACCGAGTGTGCGATAACCCCACAGTCCTCATCACTGCGGACTATTGAAGGGGCGTGAGCAGCGCGGTTTTAGTCCGCGTTCGGCTTCCTTGCTCCAATTCGGGTAGAAATCGATCGATCGTCAATCGGGTAGAAATCGATTAGGAAGGAAACAACCAATGATGTAAACGCCGCATGTGAGAACCGCTCATTGCGACCCGACAATTGTGGTGATAGTATGTGCACTTCCCTACACTTACGGACAGACTATACACTCACTTTTTCAGAGTTTTCGTTGAAAATTCATAACTCCTGGACTCAGCCGCAGAGAGTTCAAATTGATAAGGGGTAAAAGTGACGTGAAGTAAACAAGTATGGTTGATGACAGAAAGTGATGACAACTGACAACAGCTGATAAGGTGCACCAGAAAGGGAGGGTCCCCAAACATCCAAGCGCAAGCCGCAGCAAGTGAGACGTTGATCCTAAGAAGTGATATAGGGGCGAGACGGGAATCCTACCGGTGGGTGGCAGAAAGTGATAAACTGATAAGGGCTAGAATCGTAGTTTGATGAGCGCTTACGGAAAAAGTAAACCGTTGGTACAGTCGCGCTGAAAACAACCACTCGTGAACAACCACCCATTGCTGACGGAGCTTAGGTTACCTTGTGTGTGCTCTGCAAATGCTGGCCCATGCCACGTCTATTCCAAGCACAATCAGTTCCCTTAAAGTGAATTTCCACGAAACCCCAATTTCAGGCGGTCACAGAGGCGCACAAACACACAACAACTTCTGGTTTTATATAGAGAGATAGGCGGCTGATTTTTTCCTAAGTCTCAATACATAGGCAGCTGTTTTCTTACCCATCGGTCTTCACAGATACATTTGATTCCAGTCGGCTCGCTGGCTGACGCCAGTGCGCCTTCTCTGTGATAGAGCTCGGCCTTGCAGGGCAAACATTGCTTTGCCGCGATTGTTTTCTTTCGTGTATGTGAAACCGAAATACCCGGCTTACTCTTTTCTGTGTAACTAGTGCTTTTTACCATCATTCCAAGGGCGGTAGTGTTGCAAGAAACAGGTGTGGTGAAAGAGCGGAGACTATGTTTAGATAAAGAAAAACTGGGTATCACTTGAGAACTGAAACGTAAGGGAAAAGGCGCGCGACGGAGCCGAGCCGTATCGCAGAAGGAAGCGCGGCGGCGTCAGCCAGTAAGCCCGACGGGTGGGTTAATCTAGTTTTAAACATCAATTGTTTGGTAACCCCACGAAGTTCAAAAAATCACCTTCACTGCTGTTGATTTCGGAAAAGAAATAAATTGTGTTTAGTCACTGAGGTCCTGGCTATTGTGGCCATAGCTCATACGCAGGCAGTTTGAACTCATGGCAAAAATTAACCAGCCCTTATCGATCAGTATCACCACGAGTCTCCCATCATCAGTATCACAATCCAGTGATGCTTTTCCTTCTCAGTCTGAGAGTTGTACTACTCGTGAAAAGAAACGAAACTCGTGAAAAGTTCGGTGACGTTGTATTTTTAAAGCCTCCCATCATCTCTTATCGGCGTTCATCACTTTCTATCGTCCATGATCGATTTGCCCGTCACACCACGTACACAGCCTTGTTCACTGCGCATTGTAGGACGTGTTCAGGTGAATGGGTTTGGCGCGGCGCCAGCATGTTTTTCTCTTTCTTTTTCTTTCGACTAACCATGGGACTGTACCATACCGTTCGTGTAAGTCGTTTCCCACCAGTTGTCGCCGCTTCTTTGCTAAGCAATTGGCGAGGAACGGGCTGGTGGCATGCTAAGCCTCAGTGACACGCCGTCATCGCAGTGAACAGGACCGCCCACTTGTAGGAGTCAATACACGATCTGACTTTCGGTGTAATTCATGATGTTTCCGTAGTAACAGTGCTTATCGGTCTCTCATCATCGGCTATTACTGCCTTTTATCCAGCAAAGGTGTACTCATTTCATAAAGTCTTTGTTTAAAGTCTTTGTCTAAAGCGGGAGAATCTATGAATTTTCGGTCAAACACCTACAACAGGTGAGCTCAACAACTCAACAACGGATTGAAGGAGAATAGAGAAGGAATGATTGCATAAAAAAATATGAGTACAGTCCCTTATCGAAAAGTGTGCTCGCAAACAAAACTCATTGTTGCTGATTTGTCTTTGAATGACGGCCGAACACCATGAGTCTGGCGAGCCGGTGAGTGCTCTATAAGGACGTTCATCGCTTTCAGTGGCTCAAAATTAGACTTTCTCTAAAATGTTATGCAGATGACCTGTAAGAACCGCTAAGTTAAAACGTTATATACAAACTGGGGGCAATTCGGTGGCGGAGGGACATTCTGCACTTTTGCTGCTTCCCAATCATCCCCACACAATCAGAGAGCCATTTCGTAAACTCACAACAGTTGACAGGCTCTATCGTGGTGGGTAGACAAGTTTGCTCCACATTTACCAGAGGTTTCACCTGAGTGAGACCTGAAACCGGAACTTGGTGAAGCAGCGAAAGTGCAAAATGCCCCCCTCCCCCCGTCGTGAACTGCGCCGACAAACTGTACACCCACTTCCGTGGATCCTGATCCTTGCCATATGTGAATGGCTTCTAACGTTTAGACGCTCCGCTCACGCTTTCGCGTGGCTAGCCACACGCCTCGCTGCCAGACAGCTACTTGTCTGCGCTTTCCTAGTTTTATCTGTTCTCTACCTTGACCGCGTGTTCGCTGCGCGATTTGCATCGACGCAAGTGCTGCACCTTATGGATGGTGCGGGCGGAGTCGCAAGACGGCCCAGATATACTACCATCTAGCCCGACTCTCGTGCATATTCGAGCGAAAAAAGAGGTACATTAGGCCCTTTGCGGATCCATTCACCTCGCACATGCGTCCTTGGAGGTGAGTGGGAGTTTGTTCTATGAAAGATGACATTCGTGGGTTCGTTAGAAGACGTGTTAGTGATGTCATATAGCGCCTTAACGACGAGAAATACATTAAGTTCTTAACCTCTGGATGATATTTCTTCAACTGATTTATTTGAGGAGGTATACTACTTATTGCAATAGCAGTTTCGAAATTGAATCCTTTTTTATGGGGCTGATGTTGTAGCGGCAGAAGCTTGCTTGTCACAAGCTTGGTTCGGTCAATTTCCAGATCTTGCTCAGGTCGATCGAGCCTCCTACTCTGGACGGTAAACTGGTACCAGATTTGTCTGTTGAGCCGAAACATTGAGTAGGCCATTCGCATCTATAAGCCACTGCCAATCTGATTGGAAGCAGAATGCGTGTTGTATCTAAAAAAGAGACTCAAGGGCAGTAGCACTATTGCTGGGAGCGAGTGGTTGTTATCAAGACAGGACACATCACCGTTGGTGGTTGCTCCAACAGGGGGTCATATTTCTTCTAACCATGAGGGATTTTCTTTGAGATTTGATTCTTGTTTCACGGACGTCACGAGTGAGGAGTTTCTAGTTGCTCATCGTAGAAGAGGTGGGGGATATTAGCTTCCTGAGAGGAACTAAGAGGAAGTTGAGGCGTCGTTCCGGATCCCCCCGCTCCGCTGCTCGATCGCACCGGAGGAGGGGACGGGGGGGATGCACAGACTCGACGAAAATCCCCAACTCATGATGTGCCCTGTGCCAACGCCACTGGTGGAAGGGTTGAGTGTGGTGCTCAAAAACGTCTTATCGCAGCCCATCCACCAACAGACAGACACTGGCAACAACCTCACGTATCCACTGCGTTTAGAATCACATGGTACGATCACACGTATTCGGGTGTGCGTGACTATCAGCCCACAGCTGTCGAAGCGTAGCTGTTTCTTTTCTCCGTCCTAACATGCGCAGGAATGAAGATACAGGGCAGTGAATCACCCTAATTCCTCCATGTTCCGCCCAATGTGGCGCAGACTCCAGTTTATGCTAACAGCCGTCCGCGCAACGCATGGCGCGCGCCGCTTACTTGGCACTTTGCCAAGTCTTTTAATTGCGCTTTGGAATACAAGTAAAATGCAATTTCCCGATGCAGATAACATTTGAGGTGCTGCAAAGTAAGAACCGAAGATGATGACGAAAGCCAGAACTCAAGAGCAACTGTGCTGTTTCTGCAATCTCATGTTGTGGGCTGCTTTTATTTTCATGTTCTGTGGGAAGGCCGCGCCTTCCCACAGAACATGAAAATAAAAGCAGCCCACTTGTTAGTTCAAAGCATTTTTATGGCTTCGGAGCCGGAATCGCGCCGAATCGCAGAAATTTACACGCGATTTTAATTAATTTGCATTTCCTTAAATTTTTCATTTTTGTTTAATTTACATCATTCGCTTATCTTTGTCATTTCCAGCCTTGGTCATTCTTCGATCAGCTCTATTCGGATTTGCACATGAGCAACACCGCAAATGTTTATTACGCATGCAGAAATCCCGTTTAATTGTATTTCGCAAAGCGCAAGTTATACGGCTTGGCGAAGTGTCAAAGACCTCCGCGCGCGACAACGCGCCGCCCGTGATAACGGCTGTAAGCATAAAAGGGGAGTCTGCGCCGCAAGTGGCATTGGGCGGAGCATTGAAGGAATTAGTTTTCACGGTCCTGGACCTCCATTCCTGAGCATTTTAGGAGGGGAAAACGCTACGCTTCGACAGCTAGGGGAGGGAGCTGACAGGCACACCCAAACTGTGT